ATTAAGCTTTTCCCAAATCCCATAGAAAGAAGGGCAATAATGTCTTTCCCCTTGATCAAATTCACCAAACAATCTCTTTGTTCCGGCTTTAAATCCTCGATCTCAGGAATTGTTGCCACACAGAATATATGGCTCTTCACTGATTGGCTGATGCCCAGACTTGCACTTCTAAGGTTCTTGCAAACCGTCTAGTGTATTCCGATTCCTGACCAAGTTGCTGGAGAGAAATGAAATTGAACATAGGCACTAGGTGGCGCCAGCTTGGCTACCAGTGTACAGCATGGTTGCGATGGAATTCCCTAGCGTGATGTCATGATTTACAACCAAGACATACAATTTGAAACCTAAAAAAAATCGCCAAACTGCTGCCGGCTTCTGGCAAAAAATTGTAAAATCTAAATATAATGTAAATATAATAATAATAGCTGTGTTTTAGTAAAATTAGTAGTCTAACCTAACATAGGCACTTTAACTATACACCATACAAGCTTCCCAACAGATTTAGTGCATGTCAGTCAGGTTTGTAGTGACCTTTCCTGACCAGTGGTGCTCTGAGCGTGCCTGCTGAGAGAGGGGACAGCAGGGCCTGTGTGTATGCAGACAGTGGACAGCTCATCGGTCACATTCACTGCAAAGGACACTAACTCTCTCCAGACCACTGCTCCTCTCTCTTGTAGAGACTGCACAATGAAAAAACTAAATTGTAGCCAAGTTAAGATGATTGAATTAAGAATGTTTATCACGATTTGAGTAATATTCATTTGACAAGTAAAATTATGTACCAATGGAACAAGACTTTTTGTACTTAAAATATGAAAATAAAAACAACTCTTCGCCCTTAAAATAAGAAATAAAATCTAATGTTGCTCGAGTTAAGAAAAGCACACTTCTTCCATTGGTAGATCATTTTTACTTGTCAAGTTGAGTCTACTCAAATAAAGTGAAATATTCTTAATTTAAGTCATTTTCGCTTACCTAGATGTGCAGTGCATGTATCACCAAAACCTACTTCCCTGTTTTAGATTGTCACTTTTTGTTATGTACAAATTCGAAAATGCTGGAGAAGTGCTGCTAGTTGCAGACTGTGTAATCTGAGCCAAGATTCTCAGCAAAACAAAGAAAAGTGACCCAGACAACTCTATTGGACTCATTTAGAGTGTCCTCCCAGAGTTTTTTTTTTTTCTTTTGGGCCTAAAACGAGGACATGTCAGGGAAAATAAGGACGTCTGGTCACCCTATTGGACCCCCACTGGAAAAGCTACAAAGAGCACCTTTAAAAGTAATTGATATCTTAATTTAATTATCCTGACAAGGCATTCTAATGGGAAAAAGGTATCTCTATACTAAAAATAATCAAAAGTAGCCCCTTGATCAAATCTGCAAAATGAAATATAGTCTGAGAGAAATAGCCTAAAATCTACAATTAAATAGGTTAACTAACTCCCTCATATAGTGTCTTCTTTAACATTTACCTTTTTTCTATAAGAGCTACATTTACAAAGCAGCACTATCAGACACTTTTTTCTTAGCATTTATCAGAACATTTACAAAGTCTTAGTTTTCATTATCCATAAAAAATACTTAAATTTTAAACCAAATTTCATTGTTTTTACCACTGTGATCTCAATAACACCACATAGGATCATGATACAGGCCTAAAATGAATATTAAGGATGATATTGAAGTCAAATACAAAATATATCTATCTGAATGAATGTCTGACCCAGGAGCCTTGGAAGGAATGACCACTTTGTTCCAGGTAATGCAGTACCCTGGAGAAATCTGTCATGATTTGTTTCTCCAGTTCAGTAGATGAAGATGAAACTGTTGAGGGAAATGGTTCTGAGGGATGTGTGAAGACAGGGCCAACACAAGGCACGTGAACCCCTGTAGACTGAGTATTTTGAGAATGTGGTGTGCCGGTGTGTGTGTTAGCTCAACTGTTCCTGGTACATGTCAATGAAAAACACTCTGAGAGACATCTTGTTTTTCTACTGCGCCTTCTGCTGTCCTTCCACACACCCAAAGTCTTCACTGCGCTGATTGAATTAGACAAGCAAGAAGTACAAGATAATGAGACCAAGCACTTGATGAACATAAAGAACCCAGTCATGCATTTCCTGTTGGAGAGAGGGGAGAGACACTGAGCATCTTGCGGAGATGGTTTTCAGTTCACTTCAGTACTGTAGTCAGCAGGAGACCACCATCTTCAATTTATAGCGCATTGTGCAGATTTAGAAGCGCTTAAAGACTATAATGAATGGCTCAAAGTCTCAGTGCTGGAGGAGACTCTTTCAGGGCTGACCAAGGAGGAACTCTGCAAAGTCCAACTCACACCATAAAACACTTCACTCAGCAGCCACAGCTGGACTCTTATCAGTCACAGTACCACGACATTGTTCCCTTGATTGGAGAAGTGTACATAGAAAAGATTCTTGAGAGGCTGCACAATCTGTCTGAAACCAAAAGTTTTTAAGATTCCAGCAACATGGCACCACTTATTTCATTTGTTTGTGACGTGGTCTTGACATTCTTCTCCTCTCCTCTGCATTACTTATAAGACTGTCTCCTGCTTGAATCAGCTGAAGAACTAGTATTCAGAGACTTCAAGCTAACTCCTCAAGATCAAGCTCATACTCATTTTCCTGACTCTCGTAGTTAAACTTAAAAAAGTGTGTTTGGCTGGTGTTCAAGCATTTCTTCAGCTCTAAACATGAAATCACGGAAAATGTTTTACTAGTAAAGAATCAATTACTCAAAGTCAAATTGGACAATTAAAGTCTGCAAGTTTTTATTGTGTCTTATTTTGCAGTGATTGCAGATTCCAACCAAGACACTGCTCTCCTTATTCAAATATTCAGTCTGTTTCCTAGTAAGAATGAATGTAAAGCCTTGCCTCCACTGGGTTAAGTTGCCATTTCTGTCCGGTCACCTGCGAGCTGTTTGTGAGAAGTCCTCAGTGAACATGTGACAAGACTACCAGCCCACCTTTGTGTCTGTGCCTTGTTGGGAAAAGTGCTAAAATATGTAAACTAAAGTGGAGAAAAGCTTATCTTACCCATCTGGCCTGTACAGCACATTACAGACAGGAGAAGAGAGCGAGAATGTTCAGCATTACATGTCAGTCCAGCTCTGTCAGCTTAAGAGATCTCCTCCATTGGTGTCAACGCCACTGTCAACCCAAATCAAAATAAGCAACCAGCACCAATAGATCTATTGCTCACAAAAACCAAAACCAAGAAATTACATCTAGAATCCCAGTTTGCCCCAACCAAAAAAAAAAACAAACATAAAAGCCAAATAATTAGGTGTTACAATGTACAACCCTCCCAAACCCTAACTCCCTTGACCCTCCCAGACCCACCACAACAAATAAAAAGTGTATGGTTTTGAATTAGTCAATGTGAATGTGCAGTTATTATAGAGAATAATTATGTGTTTATCTGTCATGGTTTACTCGTAAAATGAGGCATATCGTAAAATATTTGTCCTGATTGTCTCATGTCAGTGTAGTGCAAGGATGTCTGAACTAACACATTTTTACTGACCCTCAGCCCTTTTACTAAACTGCCCACAATTATCTTAGGCATTAATTTTAACAACACAATTTGAAGTAATTCTATCACTATAACCTCAATAACACCAGACTGCATTGTGATACAGTCTGGTGTATCTGTGTCAATATTACATATTAAAGGAAGAGTTCTGAATTTTGGACATAGGACCTCATTTCCTAGTGAGCCAGAGTGTTGGAAACGTGTGGAGACGCTTTTTAAATATTCCATCCAGTCCTTGTATTTGCAGAGGTCGCTGGTGCTAGGCTAGCACATGTCAATGGCCATATTTAGCCCACCACTAAGAACAGTCTTACCCACTCCTCAAAGCACCCGAAGCAAAACTATTATTACGCCAGACTGTCGATGTGAATGTCTGTGTCGATAGAATAATTTTAGAAGTTAAACCAACCTTGCATTTGAAGGATTTATGTGTGAGCAGCAGCAGCAGCGAGTTATACTTTCTGATAGAAAGCTTGACAGCAGCAGTCTGATATGTGAGAAAATAGTCCCTCAACATGCGACAGTTCATATGAGAAAACACTATGACATCACGTCAGCCATTTTAGTAGGGAAAAAGCATCTGCATCAAACAAGTCAACATCAACATTGTCAACAGTTATCGTCGAGTTTTAACTTTTCAAAGTAACAAATTTGATCCTTAAAATTCATTGACTTAGAGTAAGACGATGTAGTCATGTAAAAACAATTAAATGCAAAACCTACTTCAAAACAAGAGGAGTTAGCTCATGACAGACATACGCAACGCAACTGTCAACACAAACAAGCGGCTGGACTGACTTTTTGCCTACCAGCCATGGCGCACGTGCAGTAAAGCTGGATGTAAACAAAAACAGCGTTTTCTCATATGTGATGCAAGGTTAGTTTTATTTCAAACATTATTCTATCAACAAATACATTTATGTTGATAGTCTGATGTAATAATAAGTTTGCTTCAGGTGTTTTGTGGAGTGGGTAAGACTGTTTTTTAGTGGCAGGATAACTATGGCCATTGACATGCGCTAGCCTAGCACAAGCGACCTCTGCAAATACAAGGACTGGATGGAATTTTTAAAAAAGTGTCTCCACACACAATATGTCCAAAATTCCGAACTGTCCCTTTAAAGGTGATAGCTCCCAGCAAAAAAAATATGTTTAATACTATTAAACATAATACACCCATCTGCATGATCCACTGTGTTCACTGTGAATATGTGTCAAGATGTGGCCCTTGATGAAAAAAGTTTGGACACCCCTGTATTAGGAATATACAGTCCCCTTTTTTCCTAAATCATAGCAGTTATTATTGAGGTTAAATAAAATAAATTATTATTATTATAATAATATTAATATAGTATATAATAATAATAATAATAATAATAATAATAATAATAATAATAATACTGTCGCACCATAAAAAACAACAACATTTAATGGAAGCGGTGACTCTGGGAAAATTTTACCTTTTTGCATTTTTTTTTTTTTTTTTTTTTTTAACGGCATGTCCCGCTTTGTCTGTGGAGTAGACCTGTATTACACCTGACAACCTACAGTGGGCGCAGTTCAGTCCAAATCCAGGAAGCGCACAAAGAGAGAAAGTGCGGAGCGAGCATCACACTCCCATCTCCACTCACTCAAAAGCACGCGTTTCATTGTCCCACAGCCTAGAAACAGGGACTTTACGGGACCGCCTTCTCATCAGCCCGAAAAACACTGTAATTTACGCATTTTTTCCTTTGCGTCTTGGACTTATTCTTTTTTAATGAATGGATAAACGTGCGCCGGGGTTTACACCTGCTCTCTCTGCCTCTCTCCTTCGCTCTGCCTTTTGTCTGTGGCATCTCAGCAGCCACACGCACTGATTCGGACAGCAGGAGCCGGAGCAGCAGTAGCGGGGCAAACCTGACACCCGCTGCCCCGCGTCGCAGCCTCTTCTCCCGCAGGAACATCCACCGCGCACCGCCAAACTCACCCGGAGCCGTGGCTGTCTCGTTTCGCGACTTTTAATTGTTCCATTTGGCAAACTTTGCGACATTAAGCAATACCAAAGCTGTTTTACAATCTTGGGACATAATTATAAGGATTTTTGTGTGTGTGTAGTAGTCCATATCCTGCCTACCTGGGGAGGAAAGGAAAGATGCGGGTGCTGGTGTTGCTGTGCCTGTGTTCCGGAGTCGGCCCGGTGAGAGGGGCGGACGGGAGCTGCTCGGACCTGCGGCAGTTCTACACCGGGAAGGGCTTCACTTTGGCCGGGGTCCCGCAGAATGAGATCTCCGGTGAGTTGAATGAGCCATTGCATCCTACACTATCACCACCCACTCCCGTACTCTCCTTTTCAGTTATGATTGATGAGCTTGCTTGCAACAGTCGTAAATTGCACAATGGGATGGGTTCACTGGCTTTCTTATAATTTTTGGAATCTGTCTTGTTTATATTACTTGTTTATGTTTTATAGCCCATATCAAATGTTCTTGAATTTCCTAGTTAAAGATATTGACTTCTTTCCACTGTAAACCCCTCCATAAAACGTGATTAGTTCAGCTTTATAATCTCTCTATGCCTTGTTTATAGAACCCAAGCCGCTTATTCTTGCATTACTTTAACATTTCTCCAATTTTCCCTTTCTTCTATAATTCCCCAGTCTCAAATGAAGTGTAACCCTAGTTAATTTCCATCCTAAACAGCTAGCGGTGCCCTTATAGCGCTTTCTGGGGCATTGTTCATTGTTCCAAGAGGAAAGCATGGGTTGGCATTGCGGGCAGGTGGGTGTGCGTGTGCCATGTGGTGTCTCCCAGAGCTATTACATTTGTATATCCGATGTATTTATTACTGTACTGTGAGAGTGACCATTTTAAAATATTAGCTTATACTGAAAGAGCAAGATTCACTTTTTTTGCCTATGATCTTGTGTTGGAGAGTCTAGGAGAACTCCCTAGTAAAGCTCTGTGGGTGGATATTTATTGTGTGAGACTGTGACTAGATAGTGAGATTTGCATAAGGTAATAATTTAGGCGCGCTGCAGGCAAGACCCAGCGGCAGATATGGTTTTGCAGGTTTACAAGTGGTGCAGAAGCAGTAGTAGTGAACCGAGGAGAAAGCCAAGAGTAAGAATGTAAGGCTGTACCTGTGAACATAGAGAAATAGTGAGCTTGTTTGTGGTACATGTGACAGTTTCAAGGTGTGGGAATGTAGGTTTATCACTTAAAATAGTGCTTCATATACAATAAAAATCTTCCTTTTAATTGCTGCCCTAGTGCAAATGTATTTATCATAATAACCTTAAGCTGCTGTAGGGTATGTGTTAAATAAAATGGCTGTTGGAATCTCCAGATGTCCCTAAGGCAATGTTAAAATCAATATTGTGCAATGGTACAATACAGTATTCTAAATATCTTAAATCTAAGCCATAACCCCATTGATAAAAGGGCAAGTAACTAATGGATCATATCTATTCACTAGGGTTGCCAAAAGTATTGAAAATCTCATTCTAAAACTAGTATTGAAACAAGATACTAATTGGAGCAAATATCGATACTAAAAGTCACATTCACAGGACAGAAATGAACCTTTTCTGAATAGTTTTACAATGATCTTGAGCTTGTATCAGAAAAAAGTATAAGAGCACATAGACAAGTATACGTGCATGGCTCACTACAGAACCTACCTGGATGAGTGAGGGATTACACAGATATAACTCCACATGGTAATATAAAAGAAAGTACTATTATTTAATATTGAAAATTACGTCCTATTGTCTAAAGAGAGTGTGTTTTTTTATTATTGTGGTATAGGAATGTGTATTGTTTAAGGCTGTGCAGTTAATTTAATTTTTATCACAATTTTGATTTGTGTGTCAAACGATCTCCAAACTCATATAATTGAGTTGAAATGATTAAAACTTAACAGCTTATTTTGGAGGTTTTTTTTATATAAATAAGTATATTTGTTTTATTTTTTAAATATAAAGATTGTAGAACAGCTGGATATATAGTTTATTTTGGATACATTTATGGTTTTCTATGCCTTATTTCATGTTCAAAGTATATTTTATTCATTTTATGCTTTATACATTGTAAAACTGCTCTAAGGTACATATTTGTAGCTTATATTTATTTTCAATTTTAAAGTTTTACGTAAATAATCAATAACAAAGGTTTGGTTTTTTTTTGTTTTTTTGAGAGAGAGAGAGAGAAAAAAATGCTGAATAAATGCATTGGGTAACTAAAATTAATCGTTTGAATAATCAATGACTTCAGTATTGATCAAAATAATTGTGATGATGATTTTTTCCATAATCGAGCAGCCCTAGTTTTGCATTTCAATTGAATACCTGTTTTGAAATGACCACTATCTTAACCTACAAGTTTGAATGTTTACTTACTCATGTGTTCTAGTGTTACCATCCAAAATATCTATAACTTTTTCCACTTCTTAATGCAAAATTGCACAATATAAAGCACAAAACAAAAAACAAAATCCCAGTCCCTCCGAGCCCCTATCCCCCTTGTCATTCCCTCAGCCTTGAAAGCTCGTCAGCCTAGTCATGTGTTTAATCAATCTGTCAATTACCACCGGTCACATCATCAATACCTGAGATTCCAGGAGGTTTAGCTGCCAACCAATCAGATTGCACGTCACTCATTCAGCTGGTCTCCCACCTAAACCAGTAAACCACCCAATTCTGTAGGTAGAGACAAGATGCTATATTACAATGATAAAGTGATTTGTAATTGCTATTAGGCCTGTCACGGTAATTACCATATAGATTTATCATTCAGTATATTAAAGCCGGAACAGTGTATTTTTGGGCTCAGTATTTATAATGTGTACATTTTCTTTGTAAAAGTGCGGCAAATTTGAGCATTTTTGTTGCAGTACAATAAGATTTGACCTGTAAAATGTGTAATGAATGACTTTTTTGGCTAATTATTGGTTCATTCTGTTAGTTATTTGTTGCAGCTCGTGTCTGTTAATGATACTGTATATTAAAAATGGTTTACTGGGATTACCCTGCTTCATTGTGATTGTGCCAGTGGCATGAAGTAGTTTCAGTTTTTCGTTTATTGTTATATTTCTCTGGAATTGTATCATGCTTCAAAATCTGTTATTGTGACAGACCTAATTGCTATTATTGTTAATATTTGGTTTACAGGGCTTATTTTAAACAGATCCAAATATTTAACCAGGGAAAGAAGACTGAATTAATAATGAACTGTTAATCACATGCATTTTTGAACGTGTTTGTAGAGGTCTAAGGTACAGCGCCATGGAGATCTAGCTTTCTTGCTGTGTAATGCTCTGTTCCACCTTGTGATGTCATGAAGCTGTAGTTTTCAAGTTAACAGCTACCTTTTGTTGAGTAGTCAATTCCAGAGCTGAAATCATCGAAATGATTCTAGAGAAGGTGTATCGAGTTTAAAACACATTGGAGCATTTCCTGTATTACCACACAACATCACAAGGTGGAACAGAGTGTTTTCTATTTGAGTTTGTATGTTAAACGTGCGAATGAAACAAAGGTATGTTTTGTGAGGAGGAAACAACATTATAACATAGATCAGAAGATAGTGTGTGAGCCATTTAAAAATACTTATACTCTAGTTATCCACTGTATGACATGATAAAAGAAGCCAGATTGAAGCATTTGGTGTCATTCTTAAGGTTGTTTCACGTCAAGAAAGCGATCTAATATTGCTCCTTGGTTATTTAATATCTGGCTTTGTGTGGCGGTAGCACTGACAAGCTTGGACACAGAGACAGGTAACAGAGAGGGTGGGCAATTCAAAGCAGAGACAGAGAGGTAGGCTGACAGAAAAGCAGCGCGTGAGTCACCCAAGGTCCCCACCATACCATTGGTTGAGATGACGATCAAACCTCTCCTGATCCTTTCCACTAGGTGCTGTGTAATTAATAGACATTTAATTGCGATTGTGATGAGAAGAGTGATTAGCTTGGGTCTTTTTAATGGAGAGGTCAGTAGCGAATCCTCTCTGACAGTAAAATCACCCAGACTAACATTGTAAATAAGAATTAGTTCCTTATGTTTTACAATGGTAAAAATGGTTAAATATAAAATGTAGTTTGGACAGTTCAAAGAAGAAAGTTGACTCTCCTGTGTGACTTTTCTTGCGTGTTCATGTTCAGGAAATAAATAATCGATTCTTAAAATTTGATACCCCAAAATAAAACTGAAACTACAGCAATGAAAGGGCCTGTACCCATTTTTTCCCATATTTTTGAGCAAAATTTGTCTTGTTTCAGATATACAGATATATTGTCATGACAAAACCACTCTTTGGTCTCTGAGAGTTGTGAAAAACACTTATAAACTCATCACTGTGAATAATTAAGATGCTCGGAATGTGTAAGGTAAATGAGGAATAACTTTTGACCACTGCAAACCATTTAAAATTAATTCAGTCTGTTTTTAACGATTTTAAGACAGTAAATATCTGATCCAGCGCCTTTCATTTCTTGTCCTTTCGCCCAGTCCTACTTTCCATTAAAATCTCATTTATTGACAGATGAAAAACACAATGCGTCTTCCTGCAGCCTTCAGGACCTTGATCTTGCTGTAGTTATTGGGGCCGAGGTGCTGCCCTCTGTGAGATTCATTAAAACTGACATCCAGATAGGAGCAGAGGGATGGTGACAGGCAGAAATACCGGGTCTCCTCTATCTTGTCTCATCGCTCAGACCCAAGATTGGTAATTTGAGTTTTTCACATAGAGTAGAGATTTTTTTGCAGGGTTTTCTGTATTCGGATCTGGAGATAGGAGAATACGGGCCAGACTACAGCTCTACAGCTCCTCATGTAAACACAGCTGCCTGGCTTAGTGCTGTTTATATTTGAGAAGAATCAGCTGATGCCAAGAGAAAACCTGTGCAGCCATTCCTTCACTGTGACATTAATTACCTCCACTGAGGATATTAAGAGAATGTATGATTAGTGTTTTTGTGTTTACATTCTCAAATACACTATGAATTGTTGGATTTACCCTGCCCTGAGTTAGAAATGTATTCAATTGTGGCGATGTCTTTACTATTTCAGGATTTCACTGCAGTTGCAGGCTATACAAACATACTGTTGGAGTGTTGGCAAAGCACTTGACATGCAGTTCAGTTTCGGGTCTGTCAAGCTGGCTCATATCGTTGTGTTCTACAGGAATCAGATTTCTAAATTTGTATTTTTGATTTTGTATAAAGAAGTGGACTTAAGGCAGATTTATAGTTCTGCTTTGACTCAACGCACATTGCCACCGTTGACGTAGTTTTT